GGACCAGGCAGGGGCAGAAGGGAAGTGGAATTCCGGAGGGGCGGGGTTTGGGTAGCTGCTGTGCCCTGGATGTCCCTGGCTCCCTGATCTATCTCTGGGGTTTAGGGAGTGAGATGGAGTTCTTACCAGCTGCTCTGAGTGCAGTGGCTCCTGGATGACTCAGGATTCAGTTTCTCAACAGGACGGGAGCAGACCGACTCTTTCTGTGGTGTTCTTACAAACAGGAGCCTAGCATGGCTGTCCTCTGAGAGACCCAACAAGCAGCTGACTGAGACAGAAGCAGATACTTACACTCAACCAATGGACTGAAGTCAGGAATCCCTGTGGTTGAATTAGGGAAAAGCTGAAGAGGAGGGAAGACCCATAGGAAAGCCAGCAGTCTCAACTAACCTGGATCTCTTAGACACTGAGCCACCAACCAGGTAACATACACTAGCTTGTCCAAGGCCCTGACATATATACAGCAGAGAACTGCCTGGTCTAGCCTCAATGAGAGAAAATGTCCCTAACCTTAAATGGTGAAAAAAGGAAGAACCCACCAAGTAGCAAAACCAGCTAGAGTTGAATATCCAGCACCCCTCTGGTACTCTTGGAGGCAGAGGCATCCCCATGTGTGGTCTTAGTTAGGGCTGGTTCTCTTCTTCTGACTCCATCTTTCCCAACCCATGGAGCTACAATCCTGCAGTTACCTTAGGCCCAACTGGGCTATTGTGCTCATTTCTCCTCTTCTCCTGCCTCCCTGGTAATATCTAAATCAATTTCTGAAACGCCTATCCCCTTTGTCTGCTTTCTTTATGGTCAAACTAGAGATTACTGTCAGTGCTGTCCAGAGACTTATGGAGGCTGCCCTCATTGGTCCCATAGGAGACATGATATATGTTCAGGAAGGTGTTCCACCTTTTATGTACAATGGAGGATTTTTTTATACCCTAATTAAGGATTCATGTCCAAATGGGAGATGGGAGTCATAGGTAAGCTTTACTACAGCCTTTATCACAGCTGTCCTTCAGGCACAATCAAAATACAAAGGGTATAACCCCACTCTCACAATCCCTATGGACAGACATGGTAGTAGAAGTTGTCTAACATTCTTCAAAGATCCTTACATCTCTAACAACATCTCTTTTGGACAATATTGATTCCACTTCTCTGTCATTATGGTCATTCCATCTGTTGCTTCAGACCTTAACCTCTGCATATCAGCTACTAAACAATACTTTGCCTGGCTGCTTTGGAGGATTCTGTTTGTGTGTCCCTCCAGGATCAAACTGACAACCACATTGATAGCCTCACCCATTGCTCTATTAGACTCTCTTACCTTTCTGCTTATTAACAGCTCTGAGCCAAATACCACTATTACTCTTATCTCTCCCAGATCTCCCTTTCTTCAATATTGCAAACTGTTTTAACTCCTTAAGGACAACTATATGGGTACACTGTATTCCTCAGACTGTAATGATACCTAGACCCTGAACACTGAGAACCAGTCCTTATGACCTAACATTCCCAACACCTTGATCTTCTGCCACATTCAAGTTTGCCCCTGCCTACCTACTGGGTGGTTTGGGTCTTGTGACTTGGTGTTTCTTTTCCCAAAATTAAGAGTAGTACCCAGTGAGGAACTCTTGTCAGTTCCCGTCATAGAGCTCATAGAAACACAGCATGGCAAACAAGTGGTTCAGATTGTATCCCTTCCTTCTGCACTGGGAATAACTGCTAGTGTTGCAACTGCAGCAAAGGTGCTGACTACTTTCCTAACTATCTATAGTGGTTTTCCCCTCAGTTTCCAGGATCTCCAATGTGTGGCTCAGACCATCCTCTCCCTCCAGGGCCAAATAGTGTAACACTGCCTGCCATACTGTTACAAAACTGACAAGGATTAAGTCTACTAACAGATCTTCCAAAACTTAAGGGACAGCTTGCTACTGCTGTGGGACACCTGGAAGGATAAGACCCCATGTGGGATGTCTGGCTAAAGCTCTTGTCATGCTTGCTGCAAACGTAAAATCTTTGGGCTTTCGGGCTGTAGAAGGGCATCTTGGGTTGGCACAGGCCTGGAACCTCAAGACTGTAGGTGTTTGGTCACTTCCCCAGAACCCAGGGCCCTGACACGAGGTCTCAGCTCCATTTAACCTGTACCATCAGTCACATAAGACACAGGTAGAGGGTGTGACTAACAGGCCTCTGCCTCGAAAGATTTACACATTAATAAGGGCGAGGGGCCTAGATAACTAAGTTATTCCTCCCTGGTCCCTCCTCTTTCCCACCCTCTATATAAGCCAGCTCTCTCCAGGCTCTTGGGCATACACTCACATCCAGATCCAGCTTTCCTGTCATGGACAATAAAGCTACTCTTTGGAAACCCAGTCCACATGTCTTCTGGAGCCTGGTGCCAACAAACTTCATGCCTCTGGAACCTTGGACTTTCACGACTATGTGGGAACCTGCCCGTGAAAAAAGCCTCTGGGACTCCGATGCCGCTACCAACCCCCGCAGGCCACATCTACCTCGCTGGCCCACACGTGTTTTTTCCCACATTGGTCTGTGGGAATATGCTGGTGTCCTCCACAAAATACTAGCTGCAATCAGGAAACTTCATGGGCTCCTTGCCCATGTGTGAACATTGATGGAGCAGTGGTGTAAGATTTTTTCAAACGCTAGACAAGTCATTTGTTCAAGTGAATGTTCTTGTGTTCAGTGAACTTGGTATTCTCAGTAAAGCAAGAAGCTCTCTGTCTACCTGTAATGTGGCAAGGATTTTGCCCTAACTCTCAACATTCTGCAGCACCAATAGATGTACCAAGGCAGGAGCTTCTGCAGATATTTCTGGTTTCAATTTTAATTCAAACTTTGTCCCTAGGTTTGGTCCAGTCTTCAAGAAGCCTGAAGGGATGAGAGTTTTTAAGCAGACCTCTTTTAGACATCCCTACAGTGGTTTAATTAATGCCTAACAATAGAATTCAGAAATGTCATCTAAGTTGAGACAGCAAGTCCAGGCTAGAACAATAAGGGACCATTGCACTAGAGTGTGGCTACAACCTTCAAAGAGAAAAGATTGTTTTAAAGGTCCTTGTCTTAGTTAGGTCTTCCTACTGTGATGAGACAGCATGACCATGCTAACTCTTATATAGCCTTGTTATATACAATGCAAACTTCTCCATAACTCTTTCTACTTAAGAGTAACTTTATTTTGATTTATCAATATGTTATGTAAAACTTTTATCCAACCACCTTATCAACTTCCACAAAAGAGTAAGTCTAAGCATGTGTTTGATATTGCATTGGAAACTTTGGTTGGCTTAGAACTGATTTATTGACCTCACTGACATTGAGTCTGTGATCATGATATAAGTGTCTAGTTTTTAATCTGTTGTTTAATACACCTCAAGACATTTCATATTCCCTGATATAACATGTATAATGTTATTAAATTTGTTAATAAAAACATGATAGTTTCATTGTATCAGCAAATTTCAATAAATTTAATAGAATTTTGTGTTATTCATTCATATTTTATAAGAATTATCAATAAGTAACTAGTAATTTTATTGCTTTTTGGTAATTTTTCCCTTTTCTCTAAGAGCCATCAAATAGATATATATCAGTACTGTATGTCTTTAATCTGAGCATTCTAGAGGCAGGGATCTCTGGGTGAATTTCTGTGAGTTCCAGAACATTCTGGTCTACATAGCAAGCACCACATCATTCAGGGGAATATAATGGGAAACTACTGCAAAAAGTTCTAATTGAGGCATTTATTAATGAAATATATAAATCCAACTGCATCCTAAATAATATTTACCTCCTCATTCTTCTGAATCTTCTATAAACATATGATTTTTTCTCTCTGATTTCTCTTAAGCTATTCTTTGCACAAAAGATATCACTAAAAGTTAACAACCTTTAAAACACTGCTGATTCAAATACAGTATTTCTAATAATTTTTGAAAATTTAAACAATTTGTCTCATCAAATATGTTCTTTTAATATTAATTTGACTACACAATTTAGTAACTTTGAGATATTTTGTAAGTCTAACACATTTATCTATAAACATATAAGATCAAATTTCATAAAACCGATCTTTAAGTCTGAGAAAACTTGACGAACATCCAGTTTACACTTATGTGAATTGTTTTTTCTTGCCATAAATCAATAACACAACTTCTGAAACCCTTGAAAATATAAATATCAAGTCTAGAAGTCTGTCTTGGGTGAAATGTATAGATTTTCCTTTTACTTGTCACATGTAATTACCAAAAAAAGGTGATATATTTCCCAAGCAGAGACATATTCAGCTTTCTTCTCAACCTCCCCACATCTGAGTCATAATAATAGGTTAATAGGTTTTAGGTTAGTTCTCTTCTTACCAACCTCCCAACCTTCCCACAAGGAGAACTTACTCTCCAGACTCTTGGAGCTCTGGTTCTTGGGCTGTTGGTCTCTTCACTCCTGCCATATGTGCCTTACCTCGACACTAAGAAAAGGGGAAGAGCTATGGAGTATTTTCTTCTTCCTCAAAGGACATGAGGAATAGACTTTTCAATAACTGCTAACAATTAATTCCCTGAATGTTGAAAATTCCTTCAAATCCCATTCAGAAACGCCTTTGCAATGACTGTCCTCAACTCCCACTTCATGCCCAAGACTTCTAGAAAAATCAGGTTGATGTCAGAAGTCAGAAGAAAACAAAACATTGGGGTCACAGAAATAGTAGTAGGCAAGAATCTTTAGGGTGAGACCTAATCAGATGGCTCAGAATTTAAAGGCACTTGCTGCTCTCACAGAAGACTTAGATTTGGCTCCCAACACCTACATGGTGACTCACAACATCTATAACTCCAGTTCCAAGTGACCTATAATACTCTTCTTCCATGCATGGACATAGACATTCATAGGGCATACGTACATGTAGGTAAAACATTCATATGTAAAATGAAATTAATGGATCTTTAAAAACAGAAGACTAAGAAAAGCAACTTGATGTTTCATTTCAGAATGTGACAAAAATATGGCTCTGTGGACATTGCTCCAGCTGACTCTGAATTAACAGATACAGTGGTCTGATGAGAAGGGATATGTTCAATCACCAGTATCCAAGATATCTCTCATATCACAATGCATAAACAGATCTTCTGATAGAAATGCTGACGAAGGCCACCATGTTAATATTCATCGGTAAATGGATGATTGGGATGTTCCTCAAAACTAAAATTAGAAAAAAGAATGCATAATGTAAGAAATTGGTTTCTTATTTTAACGAAGCTAAGTCTAAATGTTGGTCAGTACTAAAGCCTAGTTCAATAAACATTTTCCCTCTCAAGTTTCTTAGGTCATGCTGTGTCCTCACAGCAATAGCAACCCTAACTAACACAGGTACTTAATATGTTAAGTTTATAAATGGAAATTTTTTCAATTTTATAGACAGGGTCTCACATAACCCAGGCTGGCCTCAAACTCATATATAGCTGACAATGACCTTGAGCTTGTGATTGTCTTGCCTATCACCTAGTGTTAGGGTTAGAGTTGTGTACCACCATGCCCAGTTTAAGAATTTTAAGTTCTTTACTCTAGAAGCATATTTTGAAATTTGGTGATAGTCATACTTTACTAGTGACACAAAATATAATTGACAACAATCATTCTTAAAAGATAGGAATAATTCCTCTCTGCTTGCCATTCTATTTTTGCATTATAGTCTGTATTTAATTCTTGTCTGTCTGTCCTCTGTACAAATCTAAAGATTATTAATGCTGTATCCGCTACTTTTAAGCACATATAATTTTCCATCAGGCTACTCTCACTTCATGTACATTCTATCATTTCTATTGTGAATTTAAATTCCCATGAGCAGAAGAAATACCCCTGCCTACCCTTATTTATAGGGTATGTCTTTGGTCAGTTCCCACAGCCTTACAGCAGGAAGGAAGACTAGAAACCATCTGTTGGATTCAAATTTTTCCAACAATGGGAATCTCTCCAAGATCTTCCTTTGATTTCTTATCTCACTAATCTAAGATGTTCTCTTCAATGAGATCTCTGTGTGTCTGAAATGTAAAACAATAGATTCTATTCACCTCACAAAGATCAGCTGGTTTTCATATAAATGTAGCTTTGGGTGCTGAACATATGTGAAGCAAGAGGAATTGAGAGGCCCAAATCAATTAAAAACATCAATTTTCAAGGTGTAATTAACCATTCCATATGAAAGAGATAAGAGATAACTAGAACAATGACATTGAAGACAATAGCTTCGATCCAGTTAACAGAAAAACTCTGAGATAGGCAGGAGCAGGTGTCATCAGCTTTCTTTTTGAAACATTTAATTTTTCTATATGGCAAAGTATATTCCCATGACATAGCTGTAGAAGACAAAAACCTACACAGAGGTTTGGTTCTAATGAAGGCATTGTGTTATCCAGAAGTCCAGTGACTTGAGACTGCGCAGAGGGGCACAGGTGAGAAAAACTGACCCTAGTTCCACCACTGAACAGAGCTCTGGAGATAATCCATAAAAACTCCCGGAGCAGCTCATTCCCAACTCACACTAGTCTTTGTCTTACGAATATTGCGGTAAGGTAACTTTTAACACATTACAATCCTACTCAAAAAAATAAATAAATAAATAAAACAAAACAAAAAACCAAATTGAAGCAATGTAATGACCAAAGTTACTTACTAATTTGCCGTATTGTATCTTAAATTTCTGTTCAAGCCATCCAGGACTTTCATGTCCTCTGAAGCCAACTGGAATTCAAAAGCCTATCACAGAAGAGGAAATTTTACTGTTTTTATATTACATATTGCTACATATTGCTAGTCTGGAAAATCCAAGTGAATTCAACAGAGTGTTGTAGTGGCAATATTGAAAACACAGGGGACATGTCCCAAATATCTTGAAGATATCAAACAAAACATTCAAATTATTAAAGAATAACAAGTGGAAAAGAAATAAATTCATGTTCTTATACAAGAGATTGAAACCACATGACTACAAGCCAAAGAAAAACTAGAGAACAAACAGAGATAATGAACTTAGAATACTGAAAAAATATATTAAAAACTGAATTTTAACAATACAGTTTAGTAAGATGTACGGACAGAGATGCCTATATCCCATTAGTAATACAATGACAAAGTTAGTTTTATATAGTTTAATTTATAAATTGTCAAATGCTAATGAAGTCATCAACAAAGCGCATAGGAATTGGCTTCAAAACATCTTATCTAAATTAGGGAGATTAAACATGGAAAATCACTAGCTCCCAACATATTCAGACTAATGATCTTATGAATATATAGTACTAGTATAAAATATGTTGGAAACCAGTATCTGAACAGCTGATAAAACTTTTAAGGATAAGATGCACTGTGCTGTTGAAGTATAAGCCAAATAAACCCTTTCTGCTCCCAAGTTGCTTTTGGTCATTTTTTTGTCATGCCAGTGACAGAAGCCAAATTATGACATCCAATTAACCCAATGTCAGCCTTGCACAAAAGGGATTCTGTATCAAGCAAGCTGAAAACTGACATCCAAGATTGTCTGACATCCATGACAAATACCATACCATGTCCATACACACACACACACACACACACACACACACCTGCGGGGGGGGGGCACAGAAAGAGAAAGAGAGAGAGAGAGAGAGAGAGAGAGAGAGAGAGAGAGAGAGATTTTAAATAACCCTATAGATGCAGCCTAAGCTAGTTAGTTAAAGAATAAAAAGACAACTATATTTAGGAAAGCTTAGTCAGTACTGACAACAGCCCAACTGACATAGAAGCCTCACTCTCTCGCAAATGTAAGAGTGGACAGAACAGACATGGCAAAACTCAGCCCAGGCCAGCAAAATGGTTCAGCAAATAAAAGCCATAAAACCTGTACACAATGCCTGGAATCCATGATGGAAAGAAAAACTGACTCCTGAAAAAGCACAGAAATATTCTGAGAGATCATGGAGGACCCATGTTAAGTATGTGTACTGGCTAGTCTTATGTCAAGCACGACACAAGCTAGAGTTATCTAAAGGGGGGGAACTTCACCTGAGAAAATCCCTCCATAAGATCTAGTTGTAATTTATCTTCTTAATTAGTGATTGGCCCTAGCCCATTGTGGGTGATCTCATCCCTGGACCAGTGGTCCTGGGTTCTATAAGAAAGCAGGCTGAGAAAGCCATGAGAAACAATCCAGTAAGCAGTGTTCCCCAATGGCCTCTGCATCGATTGTTGCCTCCAGGTTCCTGCCCTGTTTGAGTTCCTGTCTTGACTTTCTTTGATAGTGAACTGTGATGTGGAAGTATAAAACAAACGCTTTACTCCATAAATTGTGTTTGGTCATGATGTTTCATGACACCAGTAGCAACCCTAACTAAGACAGATATTCTACAAATGCTTCAAGTCCTATAGCCCTGTCATCACCTGCATGAGCTCTTTGATCCGCTTCTCATTGAAACTCCTGGTCAGGGCCACAATCCCACGCTGCAACTGGTAACGAATGGCAATCAGTGCTGGTGTTTGCTTGTACTTATTTGCCATGGCACAAAGAACTGGATCATCTAAGAGAACTGGACTTTTCTGATCCACCCTAGAATGGAAAGTAAGAGAATGCTGAACTCCTGAAATTTGTGTTAGGAGGCTTACAAAACAGGTATCCAGACTACTGTTCTCCCCTGGGCCAGTAGAGCTAATATTATCTCAGATGTTATCAGAAATTTAAATGCCAGTCACTCTAAGTCCATTGAGAGTCAGATCTAGAAATTGTTATAGGACTAAATGTATTTCAAAAACAATGCTTGAGATACGCTGTTGTTCTTTGGTACTGACCATATTTTGTCTCGTGAACTTCCCAATGTGCAGTAGGAAACCAGGATGATGTCTTTTGACTTACAATAGTCCAGCATTTTGCTCTGGTTGAGATAAAGATGACATTCTACCTGATAAAAGACAGTTAGTTTTTATGAAGCTTTGTATTAATACGAAATGAAAACACCAAAATGAGAAAATTTGAATTCTTAAAAAGTCAAATATGAAATTTAAAATGAAAAACAAACAACACTAAGTAGCAATCACTTTAACAAAATGAATTTAATATGTCTTTCTTGTAGGAAGTTTTTTTTTCTAAATATACACCCAAAAAGAAACAATTCTATGGGTCATTTCTTAGATGCTAAATAATCTTTTACTAGTGAATATCATCTCAGATCTTCTCAGAAATTTAAATACTTACCACTCTAAGTCAGTTGAGAGTTAGATCTAGAAAATTGCTACCAAACTAAACATATTTGTTTAGGCTTGGCAGGTTCCAAAGTGGGAGAAAGAAAAGGATTATTGCAGACATGTACAGTAAATTACAATAGAGGAAAGAATTTGGCCAAATGCTCATAATGGCATGTGTGAAGACAAATGTGTCCATTTGATAGCATTCATATTAATGTAAGAAGTTCATAAGTCCATCACAATACAGAGGAGAAAAGAGAGTATACAAATCCATTTGCTCATGCTGATCTTCAGTTTAATGCTTTAGTCAGAATATCGGTATTCAAAGGCAAACTACTAATGATTTACATTATCTTATATAGATAATGGTACAACGACTTAGCAGATTAAAGTTCTTGCCATCAAGTGCTGATTTCAAATCCTGTGACCCACATGTTGGAAAGAGAGAACCAACCAATTCCTACAATCCCCTGACCTCCAGATACAAGCAGGTGTGTGTGTGTGTGTGTGCGTGTGTGTGCGTGTGTGTGTGTGTGCGTGTGCGTGTGCGTGTGTGTGTGTGTTTAAACAGTTCATTTGCTGTTAGAAAGCAGGAAGGAATCAAGTATGATGCATACAGTCAATCGTAAGATCAGCTCAAAGTGATCTATCCAAAATTTCCCAATATGACTTCATCATAACCAGATAAGATATCTAACAAATGTGCATGAACTTGATAGCTGCCAGTTAATTTTCCTGTAGCTGTGGCTCTGGTTAATACAACTGAAGATGGATGCATCAGGACCAAGGGCACAGCCATCTAACATTCGTGGTTGTGCGATTGATCTTTACTTGGACCTTATCACTGTTTCCTGCCCTCACTGTGTTTCCAAGACCTTTCTTCCTGTGCATACTTCCCTCCATGGCATCTTTCTTCCTCCAATCTAATCTCATAGACGGACAAGAAAAGCAACTTGATCTCTGAAGTCATGCCTTTTTAGCAGTGTTTCCCTCTTCTCTTATATCCAATTAGCTGGGTGGTAGCCCCAAGCATTCCACTGTCTTTCTCAAGCAGAAGTATAATGAAGGGACTTCTATGTCCTCTAAAAGAGACTCCATTCTTAGAATTTTCATCCCATAAAAGTTAAATGAGCAGGACTAGACAACAAATCAATAGTACAGGAAGAACAAAATTAGGCATAAAAGGTCAAGAGGTGGAAATGGCTCACCTGGTTGCACACAGGCTTGTACTTGAGCCCTGGCTTGTTCAGGATCATCTCCAGCTGTCTACGGTTAAAGTTGGACACCCCAATGGACTTGGCCAGCCCTGCATCCTTACACTTCTCCATGGCCTAAAGAGGAAGAGAGGGTGGAGGGTAAATTGTGCAGTTGTTCCAAGAAGTGGTTTTAATGCTTTCAAGCAATGCTGAGGGAACTGCTGGCTCTGACAGTCTAGAGGCAAAGAACTGGTGGAGAAAATAAAGGATAAAGGAAAAGGATGCAAAAAAAAAAAAAAGGATTCCTATGTCCTTAAGAAATAGCTGACATTACAAAATGTGGTTGGAAAGAGACTCCTAACCTCAGTTCTTCTCCCCTAGTATTTTCAACAATAAATTCCTCCAGCATCCCCAATAGCACCACTTGCGAAAGTTAGAGAATTCTAGATCAAACCAGGTACATTCCGTTCTCACAGGTGGCTGTCATACCTGATACTCTCTCCCAGTGTCTCCTTCTGGGTTCTTTACTCCAAGGACTCACCTCCCATGTGTCACAGAGATTCACTTCGTCAGCCAACAGTTTGTCATGTTTGTCTCTTGGAAATAATTTATCTCCAGGCTGGAATAGAATCATTCATTTTAGAGACATCTCTGAAGTCAGGTTATCATATTTAACTACATTGTCTAGTCCTTCAAAGTCTGGCCTAGGAAGCCTTCCTGAGTAAGTAGCACATTATTTTAGATTCTTTGCATTTGGAATGACAAGGGACTACTCTTTGAAGATTGACATTCTCTAATCGTTTATATTTTCCATATGATTAGAAATGCTTTTCTCCTATGTCCTAATAGTGTCTTGTATGGTTTTTGTTATTATTTCAGTCCCTATATTTCCCTATAAGAAAAATCTCTATCTTTTTGGTAAATCAGGTATTTATATAGACCTTATATCTCTTAATAATGGATTATGTTAGTGATTTGAGCAAAACAGTCCCTTATCCTAGTGGACATATATATGATTGTGTAAAGTCATGCACAATTAAACTGGGACATCAGTCAGACTTTCTTTTCAGGATTAATGTGGGTATTAGAAAACCAGAATAGCTCTCAAGTTTTACTAAACCATGACTCTTGAATTGCCACAAGTCCATATTTTCTACCAATAGCAAATGAAAGCCCCCAACTAGATAAACATGCTGTAGAGCTGGGAGATAGAGAAAATATTTCTGAAGCTTATGCTACTTCATACCTTTAAACGTAGTCATCATGGCTTAGACTTCCTGGTTATGTAACATAATGGCCTCCACTGCACAAACCAGCTTAAGATTTTGATAATTTTATAGCGAGAGTTCTGCATAACACAGTTATGGGCTAAGTGCCATCTACAAAACCCCATCGTGAAGCTATGAAAAGAAATGATATTAGCCAAATCTCCAAGGGCTGGTAGTATGAGAACCAGATGTTCTAGTTTGCATTCTGTTTCTGAGATAAACACCATGACTGAAAACAACTGAAGAGGTAAACAATTGGGTTTACTTAATGTCTTACACTTCTACATCATGACCCATCATTGAGGGAAGGCAGGACTGAGATTCAAAAAAAAAACAAGAAAACAAAAAACTGAAGCATTAAAGATGGAGGAATGCTGCATACCCATTTGCTTCCCTCCCCAGTCATCAGTTAACTTCCTTATTCAGGCCAGGACCACCCGCAGAGGCACTTCCCAGAGTGGAGTGGGCCCTCTCCCATCAACCCATAATCAAGACCATTTCTCAAAGACACGCCCTCCTGCAAACGTGATCTGAACAATTCCCCAACTGAAACTCCCTCAGATGACTTTGGGCACTGTCAAATTGACAGCTAAAACTGATGAAGACAGCCACCCAGGATGTGTACCACCAGATCTGCTCTCAGAGCGCAGTTATGAGAGATGATGTAATCTCAGTGTGAAGCATATGTATGACAGTTTGATTAATCTCCACAATTGCATGTAAACACCTTCCAAGGACTAAGGCGGACTGAAGAGATGGCCCAGAGGGTAAAATATTTGACTTGAAAGCCTAATGACCTGAGTTTAAACTCAAAACCTTACATAAAACAACAAACAAAAAAAAAAATTAAATCCGGGTGTAGTGGTGCACATTTGCAATCCCATGGAGATTGAAAGGTGGAGACAGGTGGACTCCTGGGCAACTTGGCTAGTGAGTCTAGCCTATTCAGAATTCTAGGCCAATGAAAGACCTTGTCTCAAATAAATTGTGGATGGCATCCAAAGAACATATAATGGATATATTCTGTCTTTCATGTGCATAAGCACACACACATAATGTGCAATCACACACATGTCCAGCTGCATATACACAAACACATACACATACACACACATACACACACATACACACACATACACACACACACACACACACACACACACACACACACAGACAGAGAGACCAAAATGAGAACTATGCCTTGAATGTAGCTAGAGGGTTTTTTTCCAAGTTTCTAATGCAGACAACAGCTTATAGCAGAATTTCCCCTGTCCAATCAATTTAAATATTAATACAACAAGAAACCTGTGATTGGACAGGGAAAAAGCAGGTGGAGCTAAGAGATTGAGGGACAGAGATAGAGGAGAAGGAAGGAAGATGGGGTAAGAACAGGATGATCCAGATTCCGTGTGGCTTTAAATAGACACAAGTAGCTATGAATATGATATAAGGGATGGATAATTACAAGACAATTTGTCTTATCTAGATAGGCAATTTATATTTTTTCTCTATTGGCTCTGAAATTATTGTGTAGGCATCTTGTGAATTGAGAATTTATTGATATATAAATCTGACTGATTAATTATGAGTTTCTAGAGTTTTGATTTACTGGGTTAAGGGGATTTGGGACCACTGACCACAGAAGGTGGATGGCTGGGAAGGTAAACAGAATCCTCAGCAAGAGAACCATGGTTGGTCACTGCATGGGGCTAGCCTAGAGGTGGCGAGACCATGGGCAGAGAGCGAGAGTAGCAGGGAATAGCTCAGAATGGTACCGATTTTTTAATATTTCCCACTACAACAGCTAAATTATTTTCTTCCACAAACAGGAAGCATAGTTTCAAGGCTTCAAAAAATCATGTTAGGAAATGTGACTTAGGGGTTACTGTTTAGGATTTTCATTAGATTGATAATTTGTTTATACATTCACTCAAGAACATAAATCTCAAATTGCCATGTAACTGTTGGTTACAGCGGCATAACTAGTGAGATAATTTTAAACATAGCAATTGCTCACCTGCAAAGCCATTGGGAAATGAATAATGTAAAGATCAACATAGTCCAATTGAGCGTTCTTCAGTGTCTTTTCCAAGCAAGATTGGACCAATTCAGGTCGATGGAAAGTGCTCCAAAGCTGCCAACGTTAAAGAATAAGATTTTAACGGCAGAGTTCATCCACTTTGTTTGGGTTACTCTATCTAACATGGAGGCATCTTTCTATACTTACAAACAGCCTTCCTGCTTTACTTCCTTTTCCATGGTTTTTCACATGTAAACTTCCCTGGGTGTGTAGTCCAATACCCTACCACTGAGCTATTTCACTTGAACATCCTTATATGTTAGGTTATTGTCAGTTATCTAGTGAACATGGAATGGAATATTTAAGAGATAGAGTTGTTTTCTCTAATAATAATGCTCAGTTTTCAAAGTAACACGCAGGCTTGGTCTAAGTCACTCATGCATTCAAATACACAGGGAAGAGCTATTATTCATTCACTATACATAGCTGAAGGTTGTAGAAAAGCCATAGTGGAGCAATGTTCGTGTGTGCTGAACTTAACTGAACACACTTCAGCTATCCTTTCTGTGAACAGAAACTCCTTCAGACTGCCTGACTGTTTAGAACTTTCAGCGCTGCGGAGAGGTTGGAATGTTACATGATTGAAGGTTAATTATCTTATCTAGTGTAGCCCTCTGAAACAGCCCGTCCTTGTCATCTCTGTGTGAGAACTAACATCTTGTGACTAATAGATTAAGGAAATGTTTTGAGACTATATCAACTTAGGGGAACTACTAGCTTCCACCAATCCAAAATCTAAGAAGGTCATCAATTGCATCTTGAGTCTACAGAAAACACCCCCATCTCACTGTACCTGTCTCTCTGAGGTACCCATCAATGTGTTTTAAATGTACATTGATTTGTGACTTTCTTTGTTCTGTAAAAATATAAAATCCTCCACAAAACTGCTTCTATGTTGGAACATAGAATTTGGGGTTCCTAAGACATGGGTACTCCAAATAGCTCCAGAATAAACTGTCTCTTAGTCCCTTTAAGATTTGAGCTATGGCTCCTGTAGCCTGCATTTTGACATACTAGCCTGCTGTGTGAACTCTGTCCCCACAGAACTTTGTTTACTTTCCTGGGGGGAATGCCTCCACCTGCCTAATAAATGGCTCAGGCAAGCTGTCTCCTCCTTTTCAGGCTCCTCAGCAAGGAAGCTCAGTATGCTCTAGGGCATTGTGCAAACACCTGCATTTGTCCACTAGACCATCTGTCTTCTGAGCAAGTCTGGTGATAGTGCTGAGAAAGACTCTGGTTTTCATTGCTCTTCTACCTGAATTAACTTGAAAGAAGTTCCAAAGAATACCCGGTAAAGGTACCAAGGAGAATTATAACCTACAATCCCCTTCTACTGTTGATTCTCAAATTCTCCTTCAGTTCCTTAGCAGTGGTCACGGTTGGGTCATGGTTGAGTTCTGTCTGACTGTACTTTTCATGATGAACCACTCTGCTTTGACCAGAGACTCAGTATATTTACATGGAAGTTATACATTTGGACTCTACAGTGGTAACAAAGACATATTTATCTATTTTTGATCCTAGCTTGAATACATGAATGTGTGTGAATAAACCTTGTAGCATTTAATAATGATGTATGAAACAGGTATTGATCCAAACACAAACTGTCTCTTCAGTTCTATCACATTAAATATGTCCACAAGCATCCCATAGACAAAAATACCTTTGAAGTATAGAATATATCTTCTCTCTTCACAGTGCCATCTTCAATCTTGCTTCTAATGGCCTGGCCCACTTCCTCTTCTATTTGGTACAAATAAGCGGAGTCAAAATGGCGGAACCCAGTATCTATAGCTATTTTAGTAGCTTTGATAATTTCATCCTTAGGAACCTAAAGAAGCAGACAAAAATAGTATCTGTGTAATGAAAGATATTTCAGACACAGTCAATTGTTTTCCAGTGAATCAATTTCTCTTGTCTTGGGGTTGCTATGTATGTATAGGGACAAACTTATTACAATTTCCCTGGGTCTCTTCCAATCAGCCCTAGAGGTGAGCATCCTCCACAAACATTCTCAGTCCTGAGTAGTATCTCCCAATGCAGTCATTAGATCAAAGGACTCACAGGCTCAACTGAGGCAGTACAGAAATATAGGACAACTTATGGAGATGGGATACAGGAAGAAAAAGGAGCCTCTCACCCTGGAGTCAGCCTTTTACCAGCTGAAAATCAAGAATGCCATAACAGTTAGCAACATGTGCTATGATGGCATATTCATATTCAGTTATGTTGTGTTAAATAGCAATAAAATTGGATTAAGTCCAGACATGTATATGACCTTGTAGAGGACATTGTTTCCTTTCCCACATAATTCCTAGGCATCTCAAACTTTGTCTACAGTAGAGATGTCCTGTTTCATAGATCCTTGTGAAATAGATTCACCTTATTAACTGTGACCCTGCCATGTGCCTTTCAGAATCCACTCCATGAACTCATTTATTATTAACCCTTTGAGGATAAGAACTTCACTTAAATATATATGGCTATTACAAAGATGATAATGGGTGGTTTTCCCTTGAAAAGCCCATACCTCTATTTAGGTGTGTCTTATTCTTGGTTTTAATATTCCATGTTTAAATGCATGTTTTAAAATATTCTTTAGGACTAGGCAAATGCTTCAGTCAGTAAAATGCTTGCTGTACAAGATAAAATCCTGAGGTGGACCCTCAAAATTCATGTAAAAAGCACTGGGTGTAGTGTACATGTTTGTAATCGAGGTGCTGAAGAAGCAGAGGCAGGCAGATCTATCAGCCCAACTTAGCCTCCCTGGTGAGTACTAGGCCAGCGAAACAATAACTTAGCCCAAATAAACAATAACACCAGAATAACAACACTCAAGGATAACATCAGGATAACATTAGGAGAACAACACTCAAGGTTGATCTCTGTCCTCCTCATGCCACATGCATATGTACACACACACACACGCACACACACACAGGTATTATAAAGAAAAAAACAGGAAACTATTCTATATAAGAATTTCAAATGATATTCAATGAAATTACAAAGGTTATATAATGCCTTATAGCCCCCCTTTCTTTTTCCAGGGATAATTATTTTCAATTCTATAAGACATACAAATCATTCTCCAATTATATCAACACCAAAAAATACAAGTGTCCAATGACATTTGATGTCAGTGATATTTGATGTCAGCATTCAAGCCCAAGACTCTTTCATGTAGAATAAGTTGTAAGAGGACAATAAAATAACCATAGCTACTCATAAAATCATCACATATTGAAGTCAACTTGATAGTAATATTTAACAAAATGTCCCTTTACTCAGAAAGCTCAAACCTTTGAGTCACAATCAGAGTCCTTTATCTATTGATTCAGAATCAGAAAAAAAGGGTAGCTGGGTGCTAACAACATTCTTCAATATTTGGCATTCACAGTCTGTTGAAAACCTATCTCATGCATGACTGGCATAAACAGGAGCTAATAAAAAAGCATCATGTTTTGTTGAGTGATGCACCAAGATGCATTTTTACCATTGGTTTCATGAAGAAGTGTGGTTAGAAGTCATTTTCAATGTATCTTTTGCGTTAGATCATTGTTAGTAGAGCCTAAAAAATGAGTTATGTTTTAGCTTGACTGATATTGTTTTATTTACCGACTCTGAGCAGCTTCGCAATACAAGAAGAGCTAGATTCAGACTGATGCTATGTCATATGTTAATTTGGTCTGCATGTGCATTTATACAATTTACAAAAAATGAGGCTATATCTCATTAACCCCCAAGCCTGGTTTCCCTGCATCCCTGTCAACTGTCTTTAACTCCAATTCCATGGGATACCATGCCTCCTTCTGGCCTCAGGGCCAAATGCTCATACCCTCACACAGACATACATACAATCACACACTGAAATTAAAATAAATCTTTCAAAATATAAGCACTTAGGACACTACCTTAAAACTATATGGAACTCAAAATGTTGTATTTAAACAAATAAAAGGAAATAATAATGCTGTGAATTACTAAGAAGACTTATATGAACTAGCAAATGTCACATGGAAATATCTATTTACATAAATATTTGTTCTGGTTCTATTGTGGGAGAAATTCTTAGGAATAAAGCATACATTTTCTCTACTGAATAAAATTGTCTCTAATACCCTTGTCTTTTATGTGGCAGCTTTAACGTCACCATCTCGTTTTGTTGCTGTTACTGTTGTTTTCAGTTAAAGGTAAAAATTCAGTACTTTAGATATTATTCTATATGCCTAATTTACATGTATGTTCCATAATTTTAAGAAATTCGGCTTGTGAAAATATAACCAAAATGAGTCTGTTTTCAATACAGCATGGATCTGATTCATCTTACCAACAAAGAAGATAACAAGAATGCAGATGAATTATAACAGTTTTCTAATATTTTTATTATTTGTGTGTGTGTGCGTGTGTGTGTGTGTTGTACATCTGGAGATCCAATGAGTAGTGGTTCTCTCTTTTTGCCATGTGATCCCCGGGGACCAATCAAACTCATTTCATCAAGGACCCTACAAAAATTTTCAGGAATTGTTTTCTCTAATGTATTCAATATACCTAGAATAGTATAATTCACAATGCTCCATTTTTAAAAAATTATTATATCTTATGTGTCTATGCATCCCTTTTCATCTGCTGCCAGCAAAGACAAGCAGAGGATGTAGAATCTCCTGGACCAGGAGTTACAGACAGTTGGGAACCACCATGAGGGTGCTGCGACTTGAACCCAGTTCGTCTGCAAGAGGAGCCAGTGTCCTTAACCACTGAGCTCAAACACTGAGTTCCAGTTTAAACCGTTTTCCCTGTGGCCTCTCTTGAGGCCAGCCCTGCCCTTCTGAACACTATACTGACCCCTGCAGATTTACGGAGACAACAGCTGCTGCAGTATCTTTGCTCCTTGCCTCTCCTTCAAGTATGTACACTATGAAGTGAGAATTCCTACCAGAGGAGGTCAAAATATCTCTATGATCATGTCTTCTGCATGAGAAAACTGCTACTCAAGCTTAAAGTGCTAGCCTTTGCCACTCACTAAGTAATCACAGGACTAGAACAGAATGAAAACATTTTCCCAAAACCTCCTGCTGTATTTTGATTCAAATGTCATGAACAGGAACATGGAGCGAGGATTAAGAGTTGCTTTGTTAAAGTATAGTTCACCCCAAAAAATAGTGTTTTATTTTCTTTGTAAGTAAATGTTCCTAAAGTGAAAGTAGGAAAAAAAAATTCTCTTTCAGTACAGGTCTGGAATTGTGTATTGTGGACTCAGCCCCTGCTTCTCAATCGATCATGTGTCATAAACCACAACTCTAGTAAATTCTACCACAAATATTTTTTTCTGGCTTATGTCTACTTGAGAGGAGTAGTTATTTGAATTGCAGAAATAACTAATCCTTCTGTAGTCAAACTCAAAGTAGAGCAGTAGCACTGATTACTTTTCATTCACTGTCAAACAGGCTGAAACTGAAGGAGAAACAGAGCCCAGAATAAACAATATTGTTCACATGATAAGTCTCCAAGGACCAGTAACCCATCTGACTTCTCTGCTACACATAAATAGCTCTCATCTGCAGACCCTGCGAAACAGAGTCAAACAGGAGCAAATCTAAAAGCACATCCTTGAGCTCTTCTCCTATAAACCCTTAAGACTGAGACACAATTGTTACCTCATGAGGCACAGTGGTTCCAAACCCCAGTGCAGGGATGAAGTGACCATCATTTAGTGCTACACGCCGAGATACAGAACTCATAGCTTGCTACTCATGCAACCAAGCAGGTCTTGAGCCTTCTGTTTGCACAGAATAAAAGCCAGCAAAATTGCTACAGCTCCTTAAATATCTCCTGGAAAGTTAAACAATGGTATGTGGGAGGAGCCAGCTTAAAGCAATAGTCCACAGAGAGGAAAGCTAGAGGCTGCTTGCATGTATATGAGAGAGAGAGAGAGAGAGAGAGAGAGAGAGAGAGAGAGAGAGAGAGAG